TAGCTTTACCTTGAAATGGAGTTCTTCATAACAACACATTCGAACATGAGCATCAGTTAACGTGAGGCCAACGAGCACACCTAGAACTAAGCAGCTTCCACTTCAGTAAAGCAGTAAGATCTTTTTTAACTGACTCCGGCTGGTATCCAATACTCTGCTCTGAAACTGTTACTGTTCAGAAAACGGAGAAAGTCAGGCAGGGAAATCTTGCAAATAAGACTGAAGAAGCTTTGTGAAATCCATTTGCTGACTCTGATGAGTAGAAAAGCAAGAAATACTCCTAGCTTAATCCTTCCTCTTTCAATGCCATGGATTTTCAGGACATAAAAGCCCAGCAAAGGAAAATATTCTTTTACACAATACATCATTTATCCTTGGACATGTCAGAGCAAAATTAAAAAAAAAAAACCCACAAGAAAAAAAAGAAGAAAAGGAGGAGACATTTATCTGGATAGTAAGCAGATATTAAGTATTTGGGATTTGAATAATCTTACAGAGTACATGAAGCCCCCAAAACATAAAACAGTAAATCTGAATGAACATTAACTGTGGAAACTGGAATACCGAACTTTCCCTGCCCTGTGAGGAGGAGAGGTTGGTGATCTGCTTAGCCTCAACCTGTGTAAATGAGAAGTCATCTGTCTGGTGCTGGCAGCTCTCAACTCTTTGCAGCAGAGACTATCTGCTCCACTCAAGATGGAAATCTTGGCTGTCACTCCCAACAGAAAATACCCGACAGGGAGGCCGATGGGATGTCATACCCATCCCTCAAAGATTTCTGTCAGGACACATCAATTGAGGGGTCAGCGTGGTCCACTGGATGTGGCTTTGAGGGGAAAATCATGGGGCTCCACTGCATTCTTACTTCCCATCTGACCACCTCCTGCTCTCTGTTCTGTGCTCCTACGGTACTTCAGATGACAGAGTCCTGATCGTAGAAAGATTTTGCAAGTGATGATAGATGGCAAGCCACTGGGAAATCTCTTGTACTGCTAGCGCTTTTTAGATAGACAGATACATTCAGCCTCTGTGGCTGCAGCTCTTTTACCAGTGCCAAATTCACTTTAAATAACAGAAAAATATGAGCTGCTTAAATCTGCGCTCTTTTTTTTTTTTTTTTTTTCCCTTAGAGCTCCTTCTATGGTTTTTGAGACTTGTCAGTCCAAATGTCTATCAAGATGACAAGTGCCTATGACCCTGCTTGCAACAAGGGAACAGGGCAGTTTTCATGCAGAAATTCTCTGAGTGAGCCAAGGAAATTATGTGTTTGTTTTTGCTGGCAAATGTGACAGCAGCAGAGGTGTGGCTGGGACCAGGCTTGCCTGATGCTGAGGTCTGAGTGCTTTTCAGAGTCACTGGACAGAGAGAGGTCCTTTAGCATCTCTTTGATGACAGAAAAAAAGGATGAAGATGAGACCAAGACCTCATTATTCTAACCTGTGTCTCTCACAAGCAGCAGTGCTGTGCCCCAGAGGTGACTGTCCATGCCTGTCTCTCCAGACATTGCCACTAGCATGGTGGTTTATTTGTCCTCATCTTGCAGATTCGTATTATATTGCTGCTTCAGAGTAGCTCTGGAATAAAATGGCGAATCCATTTGTGTCAGCCCATGTGTAACTCCACAACAACCCCTTGCCTGACACCACGAAACCTCAACAAATCTAAAATTACTGGAGAGACCCTCTGTAAATCGCCCAGCTCCAAAGGAGAGATGGCACAAATGACCTTATTGGTTCAAGTTTTAAAATAAATATACAGATAGGGTTGGGCAGCAAGTGCGGGCAGTGAAGATTTTCTGTCTTGCTAGGTTTACTCAATGTAATGGCTGTTTTTTTCAAAATGTTTCAGAGTTCAGGTTTTGTTCAAATAAACGTCCCACGTATTTGAACCCCCTGAGACTGAAAACCTCGGCCACGAGTCTCATGTGATTTTCTTATGAGATTTCCAGCTTTTGTGCTTCTTGTCTTGGCTTGAAGTACCATGAGAATATTTTTTCATGGTATTTCAACACTTCTGGTTTAAAATTCTAGACTTTATTGAAAAAACCTAAGAAAAGCTTTAAGGGGTGGGGTGGGTTTCTAATTTAAACTAAAAATGGGATAATGCTACAGATTTACTGTATGTGAGTGCATGCTTTTGGAAATAAATAAGGGTTTGGGTCCAGGCATTTGATTTGAATGCTTCTCTAATTTTAACCTGTTTGAGACACTCTATTTCTTTCCTATGCAGCATTCATGTGGGAGAATAAATATTTGCTTCAGCTAATTAGGTAAGCTAGAAGTTTCATTTTCCAAGTATAAGAAGAGGTAGACAGTGTCATTCACTGGCCCACCAAACACAACAAAAGCTTAATGGTTTGAAAACCACTGTGCTTCCAAATTCAAGTGTCTTCTCAACGTCTTCAGGACCACTACAGGCTGAGTCGAGAAGTGCTAGCTTCATTTTCCCTATCACCACATATTTGTTTGAAGGCCGGGAGAAGCAACCCCTCTGCTTGAGGTGACATATCAGCACCTGAAAACACCTCTAAGACATACATCTGAGGCAGCGAGTGCTGCAAGAAAAAATTACCAGCACATATGGGACCTGAAGTATTCTTGGTTATTACAGCAGAAAAAAAGATGCCAACTTTACCAGGTCTTTTACACCTTCCTTGTTTTCTGACATAGCTCCATCAGTCTGGTGCTGTCTGAGTCAATACTAGTGAATCTCCCCAAAGACATGATTCTTACTTTTGCAGATTTTACTTTTGATCCTGCAAGATTACCAAGATCTGTAAACAGGCACTTTGTAGTAGGTTTCCTAGGTGTATTGATATTATGCAATAATTTTAATGCACTGAAACAAGGCCAAATGTAGGGGGAAAATTAGCTGGCTTGTTCTGCCTCTGTGAATTGTCGACGCAAAACACAGGCTTAGGTCCATCTAATCTCTTCTTTCACTTTGAGCTCAGCGTTTATTTAGAGTGGCAGTGCTTGATTAGTATCCTGGCCATGTACAGATGTGAAGTGCATTTACAGTCTGAGGCTGCTTTCTGCTTCTAGGACTGTGCAAAGCAAAGATATTGCAAAATCTCCAAGGATTAGATTTTACTTTTGCAAATTGTCCGATAATGTTCTAGCTGCAAATATGTGTTTGCAGGAGGAAAGAAATCTCATTTATGCATAAATAAAAGACACGGAAGACTGAAATTCTCTTGACGTTGGGGACTTAATACTGAATGAGAGATGGACAAAAAATAATTCCTCATCAATAATATCAAGGTGTCCTTTCAAGGCCCTATCCTGTAAAATCTAACCTTATCTTAATCCCTTTCCCTTTTCAAGCCAGTAGATATTCAGCACAGGAGCTGACATTGAGACATGAGTAAAGGCTTACATGTTGTTTCAAGAAGCTGCGCTCTTACTTGGCAGGCTCAGGAGGAGTTATGTCAAGAGCTGCTTATTTCTAATATTGTACAGAGAATTCCTCCCACTATTTCTTCCAGATGCTGAACAGCTCATTTATTTATTTATTTGGATTAGCTGTATTAAAATATAACATGCTTCCAAATGCTTTTCCCCCAAATTCCCAAAGGACGGCCCTTTCTCATGGGGATGTATGTCCTTAAGTCATTTAACATGCTTAACTCCCACTGCTCAGAACGAGGGTAAAGTTCCTGACTCCAGCGTACCCAGGATCTCATAGAGAGCTCAGAGCACTTGGTATTGAAGGAATTAGAAGAGGAATGTAGCATAACACTGGGCAGGGAGACAGCAAAATGTCTGCAGCTTTTCCAGTGGCTGCAGCAGTGATCCCACTAGCAAGCACCTGAGCAAGGAGTTACTGAGTTTTTAAGCAGGTTCCTGCTGGACTCAGAACAAGGAAAACAAATGGATGAGCAAAAGTTACCCTCTTTGAGGCTTTTTTTGATGATGACTTACCTAGTTTTGAAGTTTATTAGACCCGCATCAAAGCACAAAGACCTTCCAAAGAAACCTAGGATGCATGCAAATTTTCATTTGGTTTTGTTTGGAGATTTGGGAGGCTGGTTGTACAAAAAAGAAAAGTTCTGGTTGGTCTCTGAAGCTAGCTGGAGTGCAGCCACTTGGATCAAGTTTCCCTTGGCAATGGAGTTTATTGAAATCCACAGCACAAAGGGGAACTTAGAGCAACTCCAAGCAGGGCAAGAGCCAAGAAGATGATTTTTGCTATGCCCTGTGAGCTGACGTGACTGCCCGTCCAGACAGGCTGAGGACAAGCAGCCTTGAGGGCACTTCAGAAGACCAAATCTCCACCTGGTGCAGCCCAGGCATGAGGACCAATGAGGCTGCCCAGCTGAAGATGCAAATCCAGAGAGCTGCCTGTTCTCTTCAACAAGGCATGCAGGACCTCACCAAGCCAGGACCTGGACATCAAAAAAAGAGGCAAGACATGGTAGAAAAACATTCTTGTCCACAGTCCCTTAATGAAAAGTAAGCAGAGATCTGTAAACACTGTCCCAAGACCTGAGCCTCCCAACCTCAGCTCTCCTGGCTGTTGAATCTGAGGTTTAACTTTTTTTTTGGGGGGGGTGGGGTGGGCGGGTGTAATCACCAAATGGCTCTAAATGTGGAGCTGTCTGAAAGTATCCATGCTGAAATCAGCATCGGGTCTTTGTAGTTTGCTCTTTCTCCCCCCATTGCACCTAAATTAGAAACTTTGAAACAGGGGAATAGAGTGAAAAACAAAGCCTTTAAATGTCAGGCAAATGACTTGCAGAGGCCAGTCTCTTGGAAGACCGAAGGGTGCTCACCATCCACTGAAGCCATTCACCATCTTCAAGGGGCTTTGTTCAGGCTACTGGCTCTCAAGGATGTCACACCTCAAAAGCTTTGGCCCTGTTTTACAGTATGCTATTTGTTTCACCTGGATCCCTTCAACTGTTGTAGCATCTACTTCTACTTCCCAATAAAAAGAGCAACTTCCCATTTGCAGAGCCGTGCGTTTGCCAGCCTGTGCTGCTAGGCACGTTCAGTCCTTTAGACGTCCTCCCCGTTTTCACCGAGGGAGATGGTGTGTATTTTAATGGTTGGCACTTTGCAGCTTTCATGGACAAGGTTCCCTGAAGTGCCTGCACAGCAGCATTCCTGGAGGAAACCTTTACTTTTCACTTTGGCCGCAGTACAGTCTTTAGAAACCGCGTTTTTTGCAGGCATGCTTTGCACAGCAGAGAATATCTTCCATTCGCAGACCCCATCTGACTTGGAAATCTTATAGAAGGTTTCTCCTGAGCCGACGGGGATGCGGACCACACCTTTGCCGGTCTCCATGCTTTGGCTGGTGGGATGGTTGAGGTTGAAACTTGGGGATTGCTTCTTTGCTGCTTGCTTCCTTGGGAGGCACTGCGCTCTCAGGACGTTTTGGAACGCTTTCTTAAACTCTTGACTTGAGCACGGATAGATTATGGGGTTGATGCAGCTGTTTAAATATCCAAGCCAAAATGTTATTTTAAAAAGTGTGTCCGGGGGTTTGATTGCAGGAAAGAAAGAACCTAAAATGGAAAATACACAGAGTGTTAAGGCAGAGGCAGTGAGAAATTGCAGGTAACCAACGAAACTTAAACACTGGGAAAAGTAAATAAGATTCTGTTCTGTCTTGGAAAATTTATGACTCCAAGCCCAATTCCTGCAGGAACAAGTCTTTCAGAATATATGGTGTCATACAATTGCATGGATGTTCTATCAGAAATCAGTTCAAGACATCTACTTTATTATACAAGTGTTGTATTCCCATTTACAGCCAGAGAGGCAAGCAAGAGGACTGGTATCAAGCAACGGAGGAAAACTGCTTCCTCCGGGACTTCTAATTCAAGATTAGTTAGCCAAATAACAGTCATATCTAGGAGGTCATCAAAAGGGGTTTCAAATGGCAAGAAAATCACACCATTTGAGACATCACAGTAAGTGAAAAATCAGATTACTGAGTTGACTGCATTCCAGCTAAGTCTTAAAAAATGATGAAGTATTGGGTACTTGTTTCCCCTTGAAACCTTTACAATATCTAACTTTCGAAATTTTTCAGTCTCATGGAATGCATGTAAAATTCAGAGATGTTAAAAGAAAGGTTTCTTCTTACATCAATGAACACTGGAGAGGGTCTCATGGGCAGCCATTATTTATATACTGAGAGATATACTTGCAAGGCTACCTCCCAGAGACGATTCAAAAAGCAAGAACTTAGATGGCTCCTTAGTAAGTAAAGTACTATGGGGCTGCTTCTTCTATAGAAGGCAGGATAACATTAAAAACATTTGAAATCTTTTGATGAAGCTTATTCAGCATATCAGTGACAGAGCCATAAATTGTGCATTCATTAGTCCTCACTGTCTTGGCACAGCAACAGTCAACTACAAGTGACCATGCAAATTGAAAATTAAATAGCATTACTAATATCCTTTATAAAGAATAGATTATGATATATGATAACATAGGATTTAATTATGAGTTATCTGCTGATTTAAAATCTTGAGAACATTTTTCCTAATGCCAAACCTTTGGTGTTTTGCTTAACTACAACTTGAGCTCCTTACTGCTTGTATAAGCAAGTTTTTAACTTTAAATGATTTGACTAGGATGTCAGTAAATGCTTAAGAGATTTACTCATGGAGAGATGTTATTATAAAGCTACAGAGAGATATTTAACATATCAGAGAGTCAACACTGCTGCTTATGGAGAATTGTTTAGGAATTTATTGCTTTTCTTGAACGACACTGGAAAGTGGTCATTGTAACAAGATCCTGTAATTCTCTCATTTGATACTTCTTTTTGCTTAGAAATAAAACCAAAATTGTCTGAAAGTGAATGAACCAGAAAACGAAACTCTGTGTGATGCTGGGGTGGGAATAAGTGATAACAGCACTTCTAAGATCAACTTTGCAAAATTAATCTAAAACCAGAGAAAAAGAAAAATATTTGCTGTATGTTGTCAAGGGGAAAGGCTGTTTCTCACCTCCTTTAAAAGAAAGGAAAAAAAACCCAAAAACCCAAGGTGGTTCTATCATACAAGTGTCAGTAATTAGTTTGGGCACAGGAAGAAAAATAATTTCCCAGAAAACACAATTGGCTTGTTTTGGACTTTGTAGTCAAGTTTATAATAAACAGAACTGTTAGCACTGACAAATGCTTGTCTTCCTGCTTGCCCCTGGAGAAATCATAAGCACGTGCGGGTTGAAAGAAATACTGGGGAAGATTGAGGCATCAATACATTCGTCATCCTCGGCAGTTCAGCTACGTCTGCAAGCAGCTCCTAGGCTTCGCAGGGATCGATCTGTTTGTTGGACCTCCCCTGACTTAGGAAAAGCTAATAATGCAATTGGAGCCTGTTCTAATTTAATTCGGAGAGCAGCTGAACTGTGCTTTGAATCTTTTTTCTTCCTATATTTGTCAAACAAAGCTACAGCAAGTGCAGCAAATGCTTTCAAGCGGCAGAAGCCGTAAAGGAATTCTCAGGGTGCTTTTGCCTGTATGAGAATGTATGAAAATATCGCCTGAACCAGAGACACAAATAGTGCAGCGTGATTAATGACTTGCTCATTCTGCTGGACATGGTCTCCTCTGTGAAACGCGAAGCAATGTCTTCTTGCACCAGGTCCTACCCTCTGAGAGGAGCTGCTGTGCCCAGAGGACACGCTGCTGTCGGGGAAGAACGAGGAGGTGCGGCAGGGTGAGAAGCCTTCCAGCTACCTCCCGCTGGGAGAGGTCCCCTAAGACCCAGGCGGTCTGGCGTATGGTGGAGCAGCGGGGACGCAGGACCGAGTCAGACCACCCGACGGCGGTGCAGAACATGCCGCAGGAGCTCGCTCTTTGTATCGGAGCAGCTGAACCTCTGATTCCAACCCCGATTGCAACCTGGGCATCAAGCACGAGTCTCGCTGCCTCCATGGTTGCTTCTGCGTTGCTCCAAGCTACTAGGTAGAGCAGTTTCGCTCTCAGTTTGAATATCAAACAGCTTTTAAGACCAAAAATGTTGTGCTAGAGAAAGCAAACGCTGTTTTGCAGTTAAGCATGAGTGAGCAGGCAGATCCACAACCTAGAATTTTTCCCGGCAAATTAATGCTGTTTTCCTTTAGTGAAGAACAACTAAATAACGTTCTCAAAGAACTTTCTGGCTGAAGTCATTGGTAGATGAAAAATAATGAAAGGCTTCTAAATGCCCAAATCATGCTCAATTTTGTCTTTATTTCCTCATTTAATTGCAGCATATCTACTGCATTCCCATTTCATATTAAGACAAAAGGTGAAACAAATCTCGGTTTAGGGAATCAGCTGTGCAAGGCTGAGTGTAAAAATGGGTAAACAATAACAATTCCTGTTTGCTGCAACTTCTGGCTCACTCTAAATGGAATGCTAGTGCCTTGCCAAAGCCTGTTAAAAATAGAAAACAGCCAGTGTCAGAGTCTGTCTCTTGCTCTTTTTTTGGGGTGGGGATCTGCATGCTAATTTATTAACGTAACCTTTTTTGGTTCATCAGTGTAGAGACTTGTTGCCTTGGAACAACAGACAGTGAAAAGAAAACGAAGTAGCTTTAACAGCAGCAAACTTTGCCATCTGTAGACCCCATCATACGCTGCCTTTAGCCCTTTCTTTCCAGTGGTGGATATAACTTAGGCATTAGGGCAGCAGCTTTGCTCTGCTCTGCCCTTGGTTGTGCTAGGCGGTGATGCTTCCTGAGTTTAGACCGGCTGAAGCTCTGCCTGCAGGCTTCACTCCAACTGCGCTGTCCTGTGAGCGAAACAGCACAACGTCGATAGGAAGAAATATTGTCAGCAGCATCTAGAAAGGGCTGAGGCTGGAACTGACAGTCAATGGGCCCGCTATGTAACAGAGCTAGGTGTAAAATCAAAGTAGAAATCATTTGGACCCTCTTCTTAATTACCCCGGCAGCTTCTTCCCCTTCCAGAGCAATATAAATCAAGATCAGCAAGTTTAAACCTTGAGCCGCTGAATTATTGTGTAGGCTGCAAAAACTATTTCACCTCCTGCATCTTCTCTGTATAATGAGCAAAATCCTCCCGCACGTTGCAGGACTGCTGTGAGGAACGACTGAAATGTCAGCATTTGCTTAGTGCCTCTGTACAAGTGCGACGTCCTATTCAAAGGGCCGCAGAGAGCAATGCCCTTCTACTGCAGACACCAGGTCACCTCGGTACTTCTGAAACTTTCCCTAATCTTTTCTGTTGGCTACCTGAGTATCTGGCAAAAGGGGAAAAAAAGGTCACATTCTCCAAGCCCTTGGGGAGTCGTGTCCCTCCTCAAAAGAATGCTAAGAATGTATTCTTTTCTTCCAGGCCTTTCATATTGGGTGATGTTGCTGTCATGATTAACATCAGTGGTTGATGTACCTGGTAGCAAGTGGGAGTGGTTTTCAAACAATGCTGCCCAGCCTCATGATAAAGGGGTTTGTTCAGCGCGCTGAAGCATCGAAATGGGCAGCGGCTGGCGGCTCAAGGCAGGTGAGTTTAAAGTAGAAATAAGATGTAGGCTTTGTGGTTTGTTTTTTTTTTCAAAAAAATTTACCATAATTAACCATGAGATTAAACAACGAAGCGGAGCGGTGAATTCTCTTTTCTTTAAGGTGTGTAGTGTTGGACTGACTGTTTCCTGCGTCGCAGTGAGGCAGTACAGAGGAACCAGGTGGAGCTGGTCAGCACTTCGGAGCCCGTGTCCCGTCAATCTCGGCGCCTGCCAGTGAGCACCAGCTGGGGGTTGGACACTCGCCTACTGGCGGCCAGGACCGAGAACACCGAGTTGTTATAGCACCTCATTCTCCAGAGCGGGCTTCTCCAATTCTCTCATTCTAGGCTAGGTGTAATCATAGATTAGTAACCTGCTGCCATCCAGGTGTCCTCTCATACAGCTGGAGTGGAGAAGTGAAAAGATATCTTCCTTAAAACTAATTCTCTATCCTACTCAGATACTAATTCTCTAAAACTAATTCTCCATCCACAGACCTTAATGTCTTCCCTGGTACACTGTCAGGAATAAAATGGTAAGTAGTGGCAAAACTGATTACAGTTTAGAGGCTTCATCTTCCATTGTCTCCTTGCAGTCTGTGCTGGAGGAACAGTAAAGAAAACTTCAACTGATTTTTTTTTTAATGCCTTTCAATTGTAGATTGACTAAATGATGCTTGAATTCCTGCTTTGTTTTCAAAAGGTTGAGGACTCTCAAGTGTCAGTAGCACAATTCAATTGCTTGTTATAGGAAAATTAAATAAAATAAAATGTACTATTAGCCTCCTGAGATCCTTTGCCATTAAGTATTTCATCACTCACCCCCTGAACATGTCAGGATTGCGTTCCCTTCCCTCATCATTTATTTTCCTGTTTGTCAACTGGAAGTCTCTTCAGATCTGAGAGATAAGTTTTCCGTGTACCTCCTGGTGAGTAAGTGCCAATTCAGTCACAAAGATGTAATTTGACTTTGTCATTTGTCAGAAGTTACAGAGCCTCTTGATTATAGGTTGTTTAAAAACCAGTACTGATGTCATGC